ACTGTTACAAGTACTTAAACCTGTTAGTTCATTTAATTCTCACAGCAATCCTGTAGGTATTATGAGGACATCCACTTTACATATAAACTGTGACATGGAGATGTTATATTACAGTCCAAGATTACGCAGCCATATAAATGACAGAATCAGGACCTGAATGTAGTCACTTCCAGAGCCTAGGTTCTTACCCTTTCCTCCACACTGTCTCTTCCTTTATATACAATTCAGCTCAAATATCACCTTCTGTGGAAACCTTCCCTGACCACCCAGTCTGAGTTCAACATTTCTCCTCTGTACCCCAGGACATCCCACATGCACCTTCATCATAGTATTCATCATACTGCCCTATATAACTTGGTATCTATTTCCATTATTCAATAAGTTTCTTGAGAACAGGAACTTTGAATCCGTCTTATTTTTCTTTGTATCCTCCGTGTCTAGCACAGGGCAAATATTCAAATAACTTTTATGGATGAATGGACAGACAGACGTACAGACGGAGGGATGGATAAGATGAGCTGGAGCATTAGCATTCATTTTCAGATAATCCAGCAGGTGGCAGAAGAAGGCAATAGCTGAAGAGAAATGGGCTGCCTTACCTTTCACACTGGTCACTTTCTTCATGATGGTTTCCTGACCTTGGCACAGGGTCACGGTCACTGTGGCTCCAGGAGTACCGAAGCCCCATATCACTGCCCCAGCAGGCTCCTTCTGCAGCACGACGTTATTACTGATGTATGAAGCAAAGCGAAAACCAATACCTAAAAAATTTAGCAAACACTGAGGGCAGCATCATCTGATTCAGCACCAACTAGATTGAGTGAAACAGCAAAGAACATACGGTCTTTATGCAAGAGAATTTTAACATGCTAAGTCCTTTTGATCATCTAAAACTAGATCTTCTTCCTCCTAATTAGGCAAGCAACATAACAAGAACACTTTCCAGCAATATGCATCACAGTACACAATGACCACTAAGGAAAACTCCCAGAGCTCAAGGCAACCAATGTAACAGTCTTCTTTCCCTTTCAGAGCTCTTGATCTTTCTTTGTTCTCAGGCTGGGCCCTAACGTTGGGCTCTCTCCCCCTAAACCACTAAAATGTTCCTTTCATGCACCCTACAGATGGTGTTTATGAGAAAAATAAACTGCTTCCTTTCCCTATTTTCCATTACCACACCCACTCCTAATGGCTGGGAGTAAAGCAGCATGCCTCTCTCCAGACAGCCTTCCCTAATCTTTTTCCCCTCCTCTATCTCTCCCTTTCCATGCCACTAATGCCAATTTCCTTCAAATAGTGCCCCTTATCACGGTTTTCTGACAACCCACTATACTGCACCAAAAATTCTAAATAAGCCTTTATAAATATTCATGATAAGTCAGCTTCCTTCTCAGGTAAACTCAGATAAATCAAGACACAAAAATAAGGTCAGTGAGAGACAGAAGGTCAGTGTGTCTGAACAAAGGTCTTCTGTCACAATTTTACCCATTCCACAACCTAAATTATACAAAAAAGACAAGAGAAAGCACACTAGAAACTGGATTCTATTCTAAAGAGTCACTAACAAGACTGAATAAGAACTCACTTTAACGAGATCACTCCTATTTTTAACATCCAGCCTATATAGAAGTATTTTATTAATAACAAACATCTATCCAAATTATCTCAGCGCGTTACTCATCAAAACTTAACAAGGAAAAAAACAAGTTACATCCCAATTTGTCTAAACAGACCCCAAACTACCTAAAAGAAAATTATTTAACAAAATTAAGATGTTTTTAAGCATTTTAAACAAAAAAAATGATAGGCAGAAAAGAGAATCAGAATTAACAAGGCTGACATTTTCCTCCCTGGAAGCTACAAATGATGAGGGCCCCTTCGGCTATACTTAACAGGACAGCACAGCTAATGCAGTCGCCTACACAGCTCTGTGGCCTCTTTATCCTGCTCTTGGAATAACAGCCCAGTCCCTAAAAATTCTCAGCTCTCTCTTATGAGCTAGTGTGATCATAAAACCTACATGACAATGAAAGATCACCCAGAAGGCCTACTGGGCTGGAGCTGCACAGTTACCATGAGCAAAATGCTCTAAGAAAAGAATACAACGCCCCAGAATTGCATAAGCAGGTTGGCAGCCTGCTGGGGGGAAGGGGGAGGCACATGTGTGGGAGGGCCTTGTCTTGGGTAGGTGCTTCATATGGAACCAAAAAAAGGAAAACCACAGACATAAATAAGAGCTAAGCAGAGTGCGGGTGGGGGTAGGGGAATGGAGTGAAGAAAACCGGTTGCAGCCTGCACATTTGCATGCAGTCAGTAGCCCATAGGCTAGGGGAAATACCTTTCCAAGTCAGTCCATTTTCACCAACATACACTTAGTGAACATCTTTGTGGATGACTCTGTGGGGGCTAAAGAGTTTTAGAGGTGGAAAGGATCTTCATAGTTGTGGTATAAACATGTTACTTTCTGATCAAGTAGTATTATCATATTACTGATCGAGAAACTGAGACCAAAGCAGATTTTTTTAATAGCTTGCATGTTCATCAGTTAATTTAACAAATATTTATTGATGCCTACTATTTTAAGCATTGGGGATATAACAATGAAAAAATAATAATAGTAACAGACAAAAATCCTTGCCCACAGGGAGCTTCCATTCTACTGGAGACTTTACCTGTGGCAGGCATGGTGCTAAACTCACCACAAACATTAATGTCCTTTGGTCTCAAATCACATAGCTTATGACAAAGTTAGAAAACAAGTCACTTGATTCCAAACTTGAAATTCCCACTTTACTGAAATTAGATACTTGTGGCAAATCAAAGAAAAGTCGTATTTCTTGTCCTTGTAAAGCTTAAATTTTAAGCTCATTAGAGTAGACAGTGGAACATCATGGAATTGAGCAATGGACAAAAAACAAAAAGAGAGAGAATGAGAAAGAGAGCAAGGCTGATCATTCTTTGTGTCAAACACAAGACACATACATTTAACATTTGATTTTGTTTGTTTGTTTGAGACAGTCTTTCTCTGTCGCCCAGACTGGAGTACAGTGGCCCAATCTCAGCTCACCACAACTTCCACCTCCTGGGTTCAGGTGATTCTCCTGCCTCAGCCTCCTAGTAGCTGGGATTACAGGCACCCGCCACCACACCTGGCTAATTTTTTTCTTTTTTAATTTTTAGTAGAGACAAGGTTTCGCCATGTTGGCCAGGCTGGTCTTGAACTCCTGACCTCAAGTGATCCGCCCACCTCAGCCTCCCAAAATGCTGGGATTACAGGCATGAGCCAACATTTGGGTTTTTCAGGTCTTCAGTTTTTTCCTTCATTTAGGGCTGGAGTAGAAAAACAGGGATTAGTATTTTGGGGAAGAGACCATCATTAAAAGTGGAATAACAATTAGGACAGTGGTTACCTCTGGTGAGGAACTGTGGATGCACTGGCAAGGGGCACAATGGCAGGCTGAATAGACTGACAATGTTCTAGTTCTTAAGTTGGGTGCTGCTCTCATGGGTGTTTATTTTATTGTGTCATTGTTACATATAATTTTGTGCACCTCCAGTATTACGTGGTAAACATGGGCACAGGAGGAATGCCTTAAAGGAAGGGTGTCAGGATATGCAACCAAGTAAAGTACTAATGAATGAAAAATGTAATTAATGAAGGTGATATAACAGTAAGACCCAAAGGAGGAGATAAAATACTGACACTAAAATAAATAGCTTTTAACTAAAAACATCCCCACCTCATTTGATAGATCTCAAAGGTCACTGAGTGGAGATAAGAATCAGCAAATCAGAGTGCTAGCAGTTTGCACGTTTGTTAAACCCTGAACAATCATTTATGGGCTGCAGTTTGTCTGAATCTAGGTACTTTTCTGGCTCTCAGGTAGAGCAGCAGACATTTTTCTGCAAGCTGTTCTCCTGCCCCAACTTTCATTTCTTAACATCTCCAGGGTCCACTCTTTGAGTGTTTTGAAAAAGAAAGGAAGAAAACCAACATTTTCACTTTAGTTTGCATTAGCAGATAGATTCCATTTTCTGCTGCCTCCATACTGTGACCCAGTGTCCAGCCTAGGGTATTCGAATGGCAAGATTTAACCTACACAACAGCAAAATCGAGTCACCCTCCTCCTCTATGCCACTCATATTATCCCACCACCAATATCTGTAAGCTGCACCAGAAATCAAAACTGAGCCTTAAATAGTCTGAGCTAGTGAGGAGGCTGTATTTCTTAGCCCTAATAACCACTTAAACTAGTAAAATTTAATTCCCCCACGGAACCCCGCCTGAAGCAAACTCTCCCCAAGGGCACCACTGAGGGGGCAGCGCTGAAATGTTTTGGATGATTCAGTCACCTGTTTCCAAATATTATCTAACTAGCTTCGCCCCCTTCCCTGAGCTCCTCTGCAGTTACTCCAGAACCCCGAAGGTCTCTTTCTGGGCACATTTGGGCCTCCCCACTGAGATAAACGGCACTTCCTCCTTGCTCACACGCCGTATGTTAGGGATTATGAGTGGGAGTGGAGAAAGCGGAGAGGCCGGGGTCCAACCCAGCGGATCCCTGCAGACCAGGCCTAGGTCGGAGATGAGAGTCCCCAGCCAAGCTAGGTTCCTTCGGCGACCTTTGAGAAAGGGGCACTGGTCCGTGTCCCGGAGGGGACGCGGAGTCTCGGAGCCCGCACAGCCTGAGGGGCAGGGGTCCGGCCGAGCCGGGCCGCCTCACCTGCACTTTTGTCGGCCCACAGGATTAACGGCAGCAGCAGCCCGACTACAAGCCCCGGCGTGACCATAGTTGCCAGGATCTGCCCGCCGCCGGGGACTGGGAAGGTGTACTCCTGGCGGGGGCGGGGTGGGGGCGGGGCCTGGGAGGGGCGGGGCCTGTCGGAGGCGAGGTCGGCTCCACCCTTTTCAGGCCCTGCAGTCCTCCAAGCCTCCAGCGACCGCAGGGCGGGGCCGTGCTCGCCCCTTCCCGGCCGCCGTAGTTTTTTTTTTTTTTTTGAAGAAAAAACGGTTACCTAGCAACGAGAAAAACAACCGGAACCAGTGGCACCAGCTGGGAGAGAAAGGAGGTGAGGCCGCTTCCCTACTTGCTCTCCGACACCAAAACTTCCCCTTTTCCCTTTGTCTCTCGTATTCTCTCAGCATCCCAGACACAACCTAGAGGCAGCCCATTCGGTGCGAGTCTGAAATCCCGGGTCCTCAACGTCTTGCCCTCGACTAGACGGGTCTGCCCCCTCCGCCCTCCCTCCTCTGACTACACTGGTTCACGGTCTCGCCAGTCCTCACCGCCCTAGAATGATTCAATACCCCCATCTCCTGCTCTCAGAAAAAGCAAAAGAGAGGAGCTTGGCGTGGTCGCGCGCGTTTGTAATCCCAGTTGCTCGGGAGGCTGAGGTGGGAACACCGCTGGAGTCCAGGAGTTCGAGGCCAGAGACACCGTCTCAAAGAAAAAAAAAACGATGAAACGAGAACCCTCCATAGACTGAGCCTCATTAAACCGTCTAGTTCCCCTAACCTGGACCCCTACCATGGCCTCTGTCTCTATTCCTCACTGACACGCACTCTCACATTAACAGGCCGAGTCCCTGAGGATTCTTTTCATACTCAGTAGCTCAACCCTCTGCTTAGCAGCTACCCTTAATCTAGCCCTTGTATTCCAAGACAGGAAGAGATAGTCTGGTCAAGAAGAAACCGGAAAATATAAGAATCCCAAAACTTTAGAGGCTGGGATTTCAAAATCGTGACACACCCCCATCCCATCCCATCCCTCCCCATCCCATCCCATCCCTCCCTCACACCTAGGCACGCACAACCCCATTCCACAGTACAAAGGTGTTCAAAGCATTATGGGGTCATGCTTCAGAAGTGGCAGCAAAGGGAAAGATTGTGCAACTTCTTCATTCAACAAATTGATTTCTAGAACCAGGACTAATTTCTACTCTTTAATTATATATATGTATATATATATACTTCAAAGAGGGTATTCTCAGCAATTGATAATGAATTCAATTTAACTTTTTAACAATCATTCTCTCTAAATTCCTGTGTGATAGTAAAAATTTACCCTTACCTTTTGAGAATACCAAAGGTAAAGAGAGAAAAAGTCATATTGAAATTGTGATTTTTTTGTAGTGTTTAAAAAAAGATTTGCCCTAGTGAATGGGTCTGTATTTGTATTATTCTAATTCATAATGCAGAATTCAAAACTCTTTGGAAGAAATGAATGGACTTGGTTTGTGTTGGGGAAAAAAGGAATTCAAGTCCAAAAAATGTGGGTCTCAGAAATAATTCGTTGGCATAGTTGTGGTTATATAAGTAAAATCAGACAAATTTAAAGACAGTACTCTTTAATGAATCTTTAGGTTCCACAGGCAGTTCTTACCAAGAAGATGTCGATTCCATTCTCCAACACCCACTATCGAATTCCACAAGGATTTGGGAATCTTCTTGAAGGGCTGACACGCGAGATTCTGAGAGAACAACCGGACAATATACCAGCTTTTGCAGCAGCATATTTTGAGAGCCTTCTAGAGAAAAGAGAGAGTAAGCTTTCTAAAAGTAGTCACTTTTTAAAATAGGAGACTAAGCCTTTGTTTATGGTAAAACTTGCTTAAGACCATCTCCATTCTGCAGAAAGCCTTTATGAGGCAAGGAGTTTCAGATAACAGTTCTTGCTCTTTGAAACAGTATGTACCTCTGTGATATGTTCTCTTACATCAGTTTCACATTATGGAAGATTACCAGGTCATTATTCAGACCTTCATTGTATTTCTTACAGACATACAGTGCGGAAGGTAACTTCAAAAGAGCATACATTTCTCTGGAGAATTCAGTGGGGGGACAAAGGATCATGCAGTCTACCCTCACCACATTCCAGCACACTGTTCCCATGTCTCCCTGGCAGTTGACTGTTATTCCTGAGATGGTTGTCTGTGGTTTCCTTTCCATTTTGATTCCTTTCATTTGAAAGTATTATAAGTGCTGCAAAAAGAATTCTGCACTCCTTAAATAAACTGATATTCGCTAGGGTATATGAAACTGTTCTGCAATAAAGGCACAGAAAAACTGCTTTGAAAGATGGACTGCCAGCCTGGAAAGGTAATTTCTATTCTTTATGCTAAGTCCCATCCTGCACAGATGCCAAGATCCCCACTAACAATAACTCTTTGGTTGAAAGCCAAAGCAAATTCCCATCACTCCCATAAATAAAATTTCTAAATCCCCAACCATGAAGGTTTATGACTGTCAGGGCTTGACCAGTTTTGTACTAAAAACCTATCCTTAGCCAGGCATGGTGGTGCACACCTTTAGCAGCAGCTACTCAGGGGCTGAGGCAGGAGGATCACTTGAGCCCAGGGGTTCAGAAGAGTAGTAAGTTATGATTACACCTGCGAATAGCCACTGCACTCCATCCTGGGCAACAAAGTGAGTCCCTTTGCCCACTCCCATGACCCCCGCCCCAACCCTCAGAAAGCCATTCTTGATTAGAACATCCATTTTATGTAAACTCTTGTCATCATTACTTTTTATTACAGTATTCCAATGGAGTGGTAAAGGTGACTAGAAATAGGCACAAGCAAACAAACATTCTATTGTAATCATTTTATAGTGGAAGAAAACCTAGCACAAGGGTAAAATTAAAGCAACTCCCATACACACTTCATAGTTCCACCCGCTTGCTTTTTTTGCCCTGCCCTCGCAGAGCTCAGAATCTCTGCCAATTTCCTGAATGTTGCTGGTCTTTTCCATATCCGGTCAGTGTGAATATTTGTTGCACAATCTGACACTTTAAATATTTTCCACTGAAAACATTTGATAAACTATATATAGAAGAGGAACGTTATTAAGAGAAATTATGTGGCAATAGACTCTGGGGCCTATTTGAGGGTAGAGGTAGGTGATGGGTGAGGATTGAAAAACTACCTATCAATCATTATGCTGATTACCCTGGTGACAAAAATTGTCTCCACACCAAAGCCCCTCGACATAGAGTTTACCCATATAACAAATCTGCATGTGCATCCCTTGAACGTAAAACGAAAGTTGGAAGGGGGAAAAGAATAAAATTCTTTGGAAAAAGAGGTGAATTGTAATGAACATTAGTTTTATTATAAGATTAACTGCAAATTCATGCAGTAAAAAGTCTTTAGTCATTTATTTAATTTTAGAACTGAGAAACATCCCATCATAAAAACATTTGCGTCATTGTTATCAGATCACAGTAATTAAAGCAAATGTTTCAGATTAATGGTCCCAGGACACTAGCTCTCTAATAAACAATGGGTAAAACCATTTGAAAAAATTGTAAGCACCACACCCAATTACACCCATGGGCAAATTATCTAGATGATATAAGTTTCAGAATTCAGTCTCTTCAAAAAGGAAAAAAAAAAAAATACAATCGTTATAGACCACTAGCTCAGTCTCCCACACAGTGCAAGAATTCTCTTGCCAGCCTTCATCATAGGTGGTTACTAGTCTTCATTTTTATTTTTGTGACAGGAAACATGTTAGTATATGATTTAAATGGTATTTCAGGTCACTAGAAAAAAGATGGACTCTTTTATTAAATTATTTTGAGATTAAAAAGGAAAAAGATAAAATTGGATCAATTTCTTATATTATACACAAGGACAAATTCCAAATTAGTCGCGTATATAAATATTTTTTAAAAGAAACTGTACAGATAAATATGGATGAATCTCTCTATAAGAGAAGAAAAAGTTTTGCTAGCTAAATTGCTTTAGTTGCTTCAAAAATTCGGAAGCAATTAGGGAAAAGATTGTTATAATTTGACAACATAAAAGCAAACTTTTACATGAGAAAAAGCACTGTGAGGAAAACAAAACTACAAAAGACAAACAGAAAAAATATTTGTAATTTATATCCCAGTGGGTTAATAGCCCTAATAAATAGTTTGAAAAAAAAAAAAAAGTGTGTTATAGGCTTATAGAACCCAATAGAAAACATTGTCAAGAGATATGAGCAAACAGTTCACACAAAAATGAATGCGAATGGCACTTACAAAAATATATTCAAACTAATTCATAATTAATAATAATAGAAATCCAAATCAAAACTGCACTGACCTAGCAATAACAATCCCTCCATTATATTGGCAAAAACTCAACATACTCTGTAGGCAGTGCTGTGGGATAATAAGCATTTATATACATTGCTGGTGGATAAGCAAAATGCCATAATTTCAAGGAGGGAAACTTAGCAATACCTACCAAAATTATATATGTATTTAATCTTTGACCCAGAAGTTCCACTTCTACATTTTTCAGTGCATTATTCTTTGTAGAAACAATCCAAATATCCATAATAGGAGGTTGAGTGAATATAGTACATCTACACAACTGAATAATATATATTACTGTTTTCAAAAATGAGAAAGGTCACTTGATGATACTATAGGTGATACTATGGAGTAACTTTCAGGACATATTCAGTGAAAACAGCAAGATGAGAAAAAGTGTGCTTAATGTGCTACTATTTTTTTTTTAACAGAGACGGGAATCTCACTATATTATCCAGACTGTTCTCAAACTCCTGGAGTGCAGTGGTACAATTGTGGCTCCACTGCAACCTCCCAGGCTCAAGCAGTCCTCCCACCTCAGCCTCCCAAGTAGCTGCAACTATAGGCATACACAACCACACTGGGCTAATTTTTGTTTTGCTTTGTTTTGTTTGTAGAGATAGGGTTTCACCATGTTGCCCAGGCTGGTCTCAAACATCTGAACTCAAAAAATCCGCCAGCCTTGGCCTCCTAAAGTGCTGGGATTACAGGAGTGAGCCACCACACCCGGCTTCAATTATATTTTTAAATGGAAGAGTAAATCTTTAAAAACTTACCATTTACCTTTAGGAGAAAGTGAACACAGTAGAGGGAACATGATATAAACTATCTTTAATTTGGAGTCATAAAATTTAGCATAGTTATAATTTTAAATTTAAAAATTGTTAAGCAATTTCTAAACTGTAAAAGCAAAGTGAAACATGAGCCTAACTAGTATTGACTGAGTGACATACACACACCGAAAGGAATTATTTCAAGTGATATTAAAATGTAATAATTTGTGCATGCCTAGTGCCTATATCCTAAAAACAAAATGAAATTATATATTGTAGAACAAAGTAAGTAAGCAACTAAGCTAGTATTATTAGGAATAAGATTTTTAGTATAGGAAAAGTGACACTCAAGTAAGAAAATGAAAGAGGTTAATAAAATCCTGTAATCCTAAATTTGAGTTGAAAAATATCAGTGTGATCTCATGTTTTCTCTCGTTGAAAAATGAAAGAAGTATTTTCTGGCTTTGTACTTAAAGGCCTCAAAACAATGACCAACCCAGTACCAGTGAGCACCTAGCTTCTAGGTTGTCATCTCTAAATACCATTCCCAGGAATGAAGCCTTCCTGGAGAACAAGCTAATTTCATGAACTTGGCAGGAAATATACAAGATTAGGCTGAACATCTTGCCATACCAGAAAAGACAGATGCTATCAAAGATTACTAGAGGTGTTTCCAAGGGACTCAGGAACATTTGAACACCTGAATAAGCTACCACTGGACAAATGTTTGACAATTAGAGCATCAATAATAAGAATAATGCGTGCATTGGATTGAAATGCATCCATTTTCTTAAACATTTGTGAATTTGTGGTTGTTAAAAAAAACATTCATTGGTCATCTTTAAAGGATTCTAGGAATTCAACTGATTATTCTGAAAACTGGTAAATAAAAGGAAAGAACCAAACCTTTAACCTTTCTTTCCTGTAAGAACTGTTCTTCAGAGTAACCGAACAGTTGATGAGGAAAAGTTATCCTTAATGAGTACTCCAGAAAATAAATAAGTATTGATCAAATTAGAGCATTACCATTTCACAACCCCTAAAAAAAATGATCTAAGCAAGGATCATCAGGGGGCCAATAAAAATTATAAAAGAGTAACCACATATTATAAATTTTATGACAGAATTACACAGCACTACCAATCAAGTATACTTGCTGAAAAAATCAAACCATCAAACCCACATCAGATCAAACCTAAACATCTAATACCAGTCTGCAGGAAATTGAAAGGCAGAAGAATTTGTTAAAAGCCACCATGAGGATAGTCAGAAACATCTGAACTATGAAAAACTCCAAAGGGAAAATCACCTAATTTCATCAACAAATAAATTGCAAGGAAAGAATCGGACTGAGGGATCTTTAAAAGAAATTTAAAAGACATAACAAAGGGCTGTGCATCCCCATTTTGGGGATCCTGATTTGAACCAACAGATAAATAAGACAATGGAAGAAATTTGGATAGTTGACTGAATAATTGATAATATTGAGGAATTATTGATATTATTAGTATTTTGAAGTATGATAATGGTGTTGTGGTTATATTTTTAAAGTATATATTGAGATACATTCTGAAATAAGTAATTGTAGATAAAATAACAGGATGCAAGGGGTTGGTTTAGAAATAATCAGAAGAAAGGGTTACAGATAAAACAAAGTAAATCACGGGTTGATAATTGAATCTAGACAGTATGCACATGGGAGTTTATTATCCTATTTACTTTCTAAGTTTGAAATTTTTCATACTATAAAGTTAAAGAAAAAATTGTTTAAAAATAAATACCTGTCTTTGTCTATGTCAACTGTCTACATATTATTTTTAAAAGTTTCTTTCATCCTTCACTTTTCCAAACTTTCTGACAACTTAGCATTTAGTTTTATACATTTTTCTGTGTTTACTAATGCATGTTCTAAGTGTCAACATTTATATTTAAGTACTGGCATTTGTTCTTTCTCCGATTTTATTATAAATTCTATCAAGGCAGAAATTATGTTTTTGGTGCTGTTCTAAGTATCCCCAAAGGGTCATCCAATGTTCAATTGGTAATTGTATATCTAATGATCACTGCTAATGTCTGCAGTGCTAGGCTATGTACTATGTCAACAAGATTTTGGACTGTCAGTAAAGAACCTGTAATTTGAAACAAGAAACTTATATTTGTGTTACTATTCTATATTTACCTTAATGCATTCAAATAAATCTGAAGTTATTATATTTTTATTATTTAGAAACCAACTTTGATCCAGCAGAATGGGGGAGTAAGGTAGACGACCGCTTCTATAATAATCATGCATTTGAGGTATGGTCCTTTGAAGCTATTGGATTTGGCTATTTCTTCTCTCTCTCAATGGCTAGCAATTATTAGGCTATCCCCAGAATTGTGAGAATTATGTGAGGAGGCATCACAAATAACTTATTAAATCTTTTTAATTGGTCTGGGATTTTTTTATGAAAATTTTTTTCTAAAGTATCTGAGTCATGTACAGATATTTCACTTAAGTTTAACAATGATCAACAGGAAGAAAGTGCTTGCAAGTTATGAATAATTATTTCATTATTTATTCTTCAAATGTTTTCAGCATCACAGTGCTTAACCATAGCAGGTACTCAACAAATAATTACTGAATTAATAGGTGAATAGTCTATTTCATAGTCTATATTATGAGTAGTCTGTTAAATAGTCTATTTCGTAGACCAAAACACTATTAGTCCAATCATTTCATTATCAGTGATATATTACAAAAGACTAATTATAATTAAAGATGGTAATGGTATAGTTTTCTCTATAAAGCTAGTTTTTTCAGAGTCTGAGCCTATATTTCTCTTTAGCAGCTTTACAAAGACAACTTTCTCAACCGAGTTTCCTCAAAAAAAGATTAAGCCCTAAACCAAAGGCACTAATTGCATATAAGGAATCAGTGCCCTGCTTTGTATCTAGAATGGTTCTGGTTGTGTACCATCCTTGGGAAAATTGAGAAAAGAGGCACTGAAAACATTCTCTGTGTTCTATGACTTAGATAATGAATCCTGGTTGAAAAAGGCTGTGTGGTATCAGCATTATTGGCGTCAACTGGAAACTTGATAGAAATTCAGAGTCTCACAGGAAACATGAAAAACAAGGAAATATGACACCCCAGAATGAACACAATTCTTCAGCAATAGATCATAACCAAAATGAAATTCTTGAGGTCTCAGGTGAGGAATTAAAAATATTGGTTTTTAAATATGGTCAGTGAGGTGCAAGAGAAATCTGAAAACCAATACAAAGAACTCAGGGAAACAATTGAGGATATAAATGAAAAATTATTCACGGAGATAGATTTTTATTTTAAAAAAACTCTAACATAAATTCTGGAATTGAAGAATTTATTGAAGGAAATGCAAAATATATTCAAAAGCTTTAACAATAGACTAGACTAAGTAGAACAAAAAAAATTTAGAACTTGAATACAGGTCTGAAACGATCCAGTTAGACAAAAGTAAAAGAGAATAAAAAAAGCCTGTAAGACATTTGGGATAACATAAAGCAACTGAATATTTGAATTATTGGTATCCCCAAGGACATAAAGATCAGAAGGTTTAGAAAACTTATTTAATGTAATAATAGATGAAAACTTTGCAAGTCTAGCAAGAGATTTAAGCATCCAGATATAAAAGGCACAGTGATTCCCCAAACAAATACAACACACATACACACACACACACACACACACACACACACACACATACACAGGTTTCACCACAGCACTATCTAAAGTCAAAGAGTGAATTCTAAAAACAACAAGAGAAAAACATCAACTTAGAGGGAAAACCCATCCGACTGGTAACTGTATTTCTCAGCAGAAACCTGACAGGCCAGGAAGAATGGAATGATGATTCAAAGTGCTGGAAGAAAACAACTATCAGCCAAGAATTCTATATCCAGCAAAATTAACCTTCAGAAATGAAGGAAAAATAAAGTATTTCCCAAACAAGCAAACTAGCCTTGTCCTGCAAGAAATGTTCAAATAAATCTTCAACTTGGAAGCCAAAAGATGGCATTTAGCATCATGAAAACACATGAAAGTATAAAACTCAATGTTAAAGCAGTCACACAAAGGAGGAAGAGAAATGAACCAAATGGCACCACAACAGAATTCCACCAATCCACAATGACAAACAGTAAGAGAAGAAGAAACAAATAATATATAAAATAACAAGAAAACAATTAACAATATGACAAAAGCAACAAAACTTCACATATCAATAATAACTTTAAACATATATAGATGAAATGTTCAACATAAAAGCTATAGATGAGCTGAATGAATTTCTTTAAAAAAAAAAAAAAACATGATCCAACTATATGCTTCTAATAAGAAACTTACCTTACCTGTAAAAACATATAGACTGCAAGTAAAGAGGTGGAAAAACATATTCCAGACCAACAGAAACCAAAAGTAAGCAGAAGTAGCTATAGTGATATTCGGTAAAAACAGTTTAAGTCAAAAACAGTAAAAAACAACAAACAAGTTCACTTTATAATGAAAAAGGGATCAGTTCAGCAAGAGGATGTAACAATTGTAAATATATACACACTCAGCACTGGAGCAACCAGTTCATTTTAAAAAATGACTATGTGTAAAGACAGAGGTAGACTGAAATACAATAATAGTGGGGGACTTCAACACCCCACTCATAACATTAGACAGATTATCTAGACGGAAAATCAGCAAAGTAACTAATATAGTTTGGCTGTGTCCCTACCCAAATCTCATCTTGAATTGTAGTTCTCACAATCCCCACATGTTGTGGGAGGGATGCAGTGGGAGATAATTGAATTGTAGGGGTGATGGTTTTATAAGGGGCGTTTCCTCCTTTGCTCAACTCTCATTCTCTCTCCTACCACTTTGTAAAGAGATGCCCACCACCATGATTGTAAGTTTTCTGAGGCTTCCATAGCCATGCAGAAGTGTGTGTGAATCAATTAAACCTATTTTCTTAATAAATTACCCAGTCTCAGTATTTCTTCATAACAGTGTACGAGCAGACTAATACAGTAATTTTTTTTTTGAGGCAGAGTCTCATTCTCTCACCCAGGCTGGAGTGCAGTGGCATAATCTCACCTCACTGCACCCTCCACCTCCCAGGTTCAAGCGATTCTCCTGCCTCAGCCTCCCAAGTAGCTGGAATTATAGGTACATACCACCACACTCAGCTAATTTTTGTATTTTATATTTTCACCATGTTGGCCAGGCTGGTCTCAAACTCCTGGCCTCAAGTGATCCATCCACCTCTGCTTCCCAAATTACTGAGATTACAGGTATGAGCCAATGTGGCCTAGCTAATACAGAGAATTGGTACTGCAGAGAGTGAGGCACTACTGTAAAGATACCCAAAAATGTGGAAGCAACTTTGGAACTGTGTAACAGGCAGGGGTTGGAACCATTTGGAGGATTCAGAAGGCAAGAAGATGTTGGAAAGTTTGGAACTTCCTAGAGACTTGTTGAATGGGTTTGACCAAAATACTGATAGTGATATGGACAATGAAGTCCAGGCTGAGGTGGTCTAAGATGGAGATAAGGAACTTGTTGAGAACTGGAGTAAAGGTCACTCTTACTATGCAAAGAGACTGGCAGCATGTTGCCCCTTCCCTAAAGATCTGTGGAACTTTGAACTTGAGAGAGATAATTTATGGTATCTGGTGGAAGAAATTTCTAAGCAGCAAAGCATTCAAGAGGAAGCAGAATATAAAAGTTCAGAAATTTTGCAGCCTGATGACACAATAGAAAAGAAAACCCCATTTTCTGGGGAGAAATTCAAGCTGGCTGCAGAAATTTGCATAAGTAATGAGGAGCCAAATATTAATCACCAAGACAATGGGGAAAATGTCCCCAGGGTATGTGAGAGACCTTCACAGCAACCTCCCATCACAAGCCTGGAGGCCTAAGAGAGAAAAAATGGTTTTCTGGACCAGACCCAGGGCTGTCTTGCTCTCTGCAGCCTTGGGACATGGTATCCTGTGTCCCAGCTGCTTCAGCTCCAGCCGTGGTTAAACAGGGCCAATGTACAGTTCAGGCCATTGCTTCAGATGGTGCAAACCCCAAACCTTGGTAGCTTACATGTGGTGTTGAGCCTGTGGGTACACAGAAGCCAAGAATTGAGGTTTGGGAATCTGCACCTAGAATTCAGAGGAGAATGGAAACACCTGTGTATCCAGGCAGAATTTTGCTGCAGGTGCAGAGCCCCCATGGAGAACCTATGCTAGAGCAGTGTAGAAGGGAAATGTGAGGTCGCAGCAGCCACACAGAGTCCCCACTGGGGCACTGCCTGGTGGAGCTATGAGAAGAGGGTGACTATCCTCCAGACCTCAGAATGGTGGATCCGCCAACAGCTTGCACTGTGCACATGGAAAAGCTGCAGACACTCAATGCCAGCCTATGAAAGCAGCCAGGAGGGGAGCTATACCCTGCAAAGTCACAGGGGTGGAGCTGACAAGGTCATGGGAGCCCACCCCTTACATCAGCATACCATGGATATGAGACATGGAGTCTAAGGAGATCATTTTGAAACTTTAAGGTTTAATGACTGCTCTGTTGGATTTCAGACTTGCATAGGGTCTGTACCACCTTTGTTTTGGCCAATTTCTCTCATTTGGACCAGGTGTATTTACCCAATGCCTGTACCCACATTGTATCCAGAAAGTAACTAGCTTGCTTTTGATTTTACAGGCTTATAAGCAGAAGGAACTTGCCTTGTCTCAGATAAGACTTTGAACTTGGACTTTTGGGTTAATGCTGGAATGAGTTAAGACTTTGGGGGACTGTTGGAAAGGCATGATTGTGTTTGAAATGTGAGAGCATGAGATTTTGGAGGGCCTGGGGCCAAATGATATGCTTTGGCTGTGTCCTCACCCAAATCTCATCTTGAATTGTTGTTCTCCTAATTCCCACATATAATGGGAGGGACCTTGTGGAGGTAATTGAATCATGGGTGTGATGGTTTTATAAGGAGCTTTTCCCCCTTTGCCCTGCTCTCATTCTCTCTCCTGCCATCCTGTGAAGAGGTGCTTTCCACCATGATTGTAAGTTTCCTGAGGCCTCCCAAGCCATGCAGAGCTGTGAGTCATTTAAATCTCTTTTCTTTATAAATTACCCAGTCTCAGGTATTTTTTCATAGCAGTTTGAGAATGAAGTAATGCCATAACATTGAACTTAAATTTGACTTTAAACAAATGGACCTAACAACATTTACAGAACATTCTATTCAGCAACTGCAGAATATATATTATTTTCATCAGCACATGGAACATTCTCAAAA